CCCCAGTCCAGATCTTTGAAGTAGGGGTGCCGCAGAATCGCGCTCTCGCCACCCAGCCCAGGGCTGCCCAGCCGCATGTTGGGGTTCTTCGTCATGAACTGCAAAACAAAAAGGGCTGTTTGTTTCCTCCTGACTGGCAGGGGCACCGGAGAGGGACCTATTAGCAGTCACACAAAAGCTTGTCCTCAGCTTTCCTGTTGAACCCAGTTGCTGGCCAGATTTCTCAATTTCACTGGAACCGCATGCAAGGAACTTAACTCATTCTCTAGAGGAAGAAGTTGGGGTGTATTTCTCCTTGGTCCCTTTTCTTTTGGTCAAATCAATAAGAAAAGAAAGTTGAATTGCATAGTTTGAAACATTATAAAAGTTGCATAGCGGTTTTGCTGGTTATTTATTTCTGTATTAATTTCTCAGGAATACAAGCTCGCTCTCAAACCGTGCTCACCAGCCAGCAGGCTTTGGACTGAAATCAGTCCTGAGCTGTGTCTTTTTCCTAAACCTCAGCCTCCTGAAGTGCAGCCAGAAGCCTACGCTTTCCTTCCTGTCATCTGAGGAAACAGAGGAAAATGAGCAAGGCACTGGCTTTTAGAGTCCCCCCCTCAAACCCTAAGCAGATGAGAGCAGCCAGGTGACTGCCTCCTCTCCCGATGGCGAAGCCCTAAGAGAAGATTTATTTTTCTAACGTTTTTACTCTGCTACCAGAGAAAAGAAATCTCAGACCTCAGCCAAAGTGTCCTGATTTGCCATGGAGCAATAAGAAGAGCCGTACATCATGCACTCACTGCAAGAGGGCCCTGGCGGGTGCCCTTTAGGTCCCAACAAGAATGATGAAGTGTGAGCACTGGGGATATTTCTTAGCGGGAAGGGAAATATTGGAGGAGGAGGGGACTCCTTTTCCCAGGCAGGAAAAAAGCAAGTTGGCTTGTTAATTTAGGATTATAGTTCTTAAAAATTCAGTAAAACCCAATCTTTCCCCTCCCCTCAAGTATTTCTAATTCATTAGAGAAATCAGGTTATGGTTAAACTGGGAAAATAGCTGCTTTTATTTGCCTATTGAAACAGCAGCATAAAGCAAGCTCCACTCTGGTGGAGGTGTCCAGACGATTTCCTCGAAGATGAAAGAGCATTATGTTTAGCAAATAGCTGAACCAGCCAAACCAGACAATCGGTCACTGTTCCGGGAATGACCAAGTCTGCTGCATCTCGGCAATGGGGAAATGAAAAGAAGGGGAGGTGCAGCGAGAGACCAACTTCATTCTGACTGTAGGAGCTTTTCAGAAGGTACAAATTCTCCTAGGGCAAGCGGATAAAAGGTCTAGTCATTCCCTACCTAGGGAGATGACGGGGAGAAGAAAGATGACTGCCAGATTTATTTTAGAAGTCTCCCCAATGCCCCATCCTGAGGGGGTTTCAGAGCCAAAATAGATGTGGTGTCTGCAGCTGAGAGACCTTGCAGGACCCCAGACCCTACTGACATTAGCACAAAAACCCCAGCTCCAGTCTGACCACCTGGGCCCCTTGAGGATGTGTGCTGTTATGGGATTCCCTAC